TGTGTGTGTGTGTGTGTGTGTGTGTGTGTGTGTGTCTACATGCCAAAGCTGCTGTCTCATTTCTGGTCTCTGCTTATTGAGAGAGTTTCAGTAACACCTCTGGACAACATTCTCCTAATGGCTCGTACACCTACACATACAGTGAAGTGATGCTAGCTCTTCCTTTGCTGTTTCCATGGTAACTGGTTAGAAGAAAAGGTGTTTTCTTATGTAATCGTCAGTGCTTTAGATTACATTCATTTCCTCAGCCTCTCCCCACCTCCAAACTGCGTGAGTGAGAGATGTGATGGTTTATATCATGGATTTATGTAACCTGGATTGAGTCCACCATTTTGCAAACATGCATATAAACATATTTATTTTGGCTCAGGACTCAGAAATGCATGACTTTCATGTCACATTTTATAATTCTGGCATTAATCTTCAATCATTTGGCCGTCCCTCTGTGCCAGAGAGAGGAAGGGAAGTGGCCCTGGGCCACTGGCTTTGTAGAACTTGTCTCTCTCTGTTCTTCTCTCTCAGTGAGTCTCTCTCTCTCTCTATTTCTCTCTCATATTCATTTCTTTGACCTCTTTTATTTTTTTCTTGTTTGCTCTTTATCATTCTCTTTTTTTTCTTGTACTCTCTTCCTCTCCCACGCACACATTCAGAGACATCACAGAGCATCATAACAATTCCTGTCAGGTGCCAGTCTGCACAATGATTTATTCACGCTTCCCTGTGATGTTTGGCTTCTATTGAGCTTTTGCTAACACCCTGTTCAGACAGAGAAATGCACAGCACTCTGATGCTGCTGTGTGCATCAATAGAGGCTGCGAGAGAGAGGGAGAACAGAGAGTTGAGACTGACTACAGTTAAAAGTAGCTGCGATTGTGAATTGGTTTCATCATCATCCTTTGTTAATTTGTTCATTGCCTCCGTGTGCTTAGAGAAGTGATGCTAGCTGTGTCCTAAAGAACTTTTTCACCTGAGAAAAAAAAAAATCAGATCTGCAGTGCTCCTCCACACAGCCAGGGTACAAAGAGTCTCATCCTTCCATGAGTTCAAAAAAGTGTTTCTCTTAAATGAAGCGTCTGTCTAAAGTGTCACAGCAAGATCTGTCAAGCATGTTACGCGTGTGTGTGTATCTGGCGAGAAGTGTGCCACTAGTGGTGAAGGGCTGAAGCACTAATTCATCTTTATTTATGGCTGTAAGTCTCTCAGGATTTACCTAAATTGTTTAAAAAAGAATCTCTTCCACTTAAAAGAAGAAGAACGTGCACATATGCATTGAATATGTACACATACCTGCACACATATGCAGAGTGGATTAATCCCAGTTCAGTTATTCTATTAAAAGTTGTTCCAAACAGCCGAGGTGACACAGAGTAGGAGGATTTTGCCCTCATTTCTGTTTTCCCTTTGTTACACTTTTCCTCCTTTCTCCTCTGTTTTTGGCTGTCTTTCATCATCTATGCTCTGATCTGTACTTTCACCTTGTTCTCTCATGCTCTCGTTGTTTACCACTCTTCTCTCCTGGTGTTTAGATCCTGACTAAAGGCTGCGAGACATCAGAGATGACACTTCGTCGAAATGGCCTGGGGCAGCTTGGCTTCCATGTGAACTACGAAGGCATCGTGGCTGAGGTATCTCTCCTTACACAACCTAAATGCTCTTCTGAAAATATACCATTCATAAATTGGTGGCCTATGTTTACAAACAAACTTTGTCACTACCAGGTGGAGCCGTACGGCTACGCCTGGCAGGCAGGACTGCGGCAGGGAAGCCGATTGGTAGAAATCTGCAAAGTTGCTGTAGCGACACTGACACATGAGCAGATGATTGACCTCCTGCGGACCTCGGTGACAGTGCGTGTTGTTATTATCCCACCACATGAAGATGCCACTCCACGCAGGTAGGCGGGATGGGAGATTTTTAGAAGCTGTCATTTGTTCTCTTGAAATTCTTCTTTCTGTTTTCTAGAGATTATTTTTTGTAAAATTTCAGTGGTGTTTGTTTTCTCTCCACCAGGAAAGAAAATAAAAAGTTTCTCACTCACTGACTTCTTTCCTCCCCCTCTGCAGAGGCTGCTCGGAGCTCTATCGGATGCCTGTGTCCGAATACAAGGGCAGCAGCAGCGATAGCGGGTCCTTCGAATACAAGTTCCCCTTCCGTAGCAACAACAACAAGTGGCAGAGGACGTCCAGCAGCCCTCAGCAGTCGCTGACTGCCTCGCCTCAGCCCCACACGCCCAACCGTGCCATCAGCTTGGGTAGCTCCGTGGGGAAGACCCTGTCAGCTGAGAGGCTGGAGAGGGGCGCAGTCATCCCACGCAGTGTGAGCAGCGATGGCCGACCCCTGGACACCAAAAGGTTAGAACCTTTCTGCTTTTAATTGTGGAAGATCACAATTATAGTCTATTAGGAGGAGGGTGGGAAAGGTTTGCAATAAATAAAATAAAAACTGTAATGTAAGGATTTTCATAGGCTGTTTTCTATATTTTAAATTCTAAATAATCAATATTATCATAAATATTTACAGTGTTTTGTTTCAGTAAGCTAATGTATCATAAACCTTTAAAAGACAGCTGCTTGGTACGTAGCTGATTTTCTTCTGCAGAAGGTTTTAAGTATTCATTATGTTTTTTCATCCAGAATATGTGGGAACTGTAGAGATCAATGGAATTTCCTGTGAAGGAAATGTGGGAACATTCTTCTTGTTCAATGCTTTGCTTTGTTTATTTCATCTTCCTTGAGTTCCTTGTGCCTGTAAATCCTTAGAGTTCCTGTGTCTGTGTGTGTTTGTATGTACACCAGGATGTCTCCGGGCAGTGAGAGCTACAGCCTGGTCTCCTCCCTGGCGTTGGGTCGTTCCCCTCACAATCGAAGCTCTCCAAGCAACTTGTCTTGTTCCAGTGACGCCTCCGGAAGCTCTGCTCACTGGAGACAAAAGTCCATGCCCGAGCAGTAAGGAAGAGGAGGCAGAGGGATTGTGTTTGTTTGTGGCTTGTTTTAGACAATTTTTTATTGAAGATCATGATGTATTTAATGAAAAAAGCAAAACTCAAACATAGAAACTATATATATTGAATTTATCAGTGTATGAAAGTGTAGAAGTACATTTTTGATAATCATAAAAGTACTGAAAGCTCATTTGGACATTTTCGCTCATTTACCAGGTTTGCAAGCAACCGCCATTCTCCGATGCCTTCGGAGAGACGGGAGGTGGTCGGCGAGGGCGGGTCCAGTGGAAAATCCACTCCCAATTGGTCAAGAATGGAGGAAGGGGGAGGAGCAGAACGGGGGTCAACAGGTGAATATATCTAGTGGAATTATTACAGTTAACATTCGGTGGATTAAAAAATGGAAATAGATTAAAACATCTTTTAGAAATGTGAATGTGTTTACTCCTGATGGTGACGGTGGGACCTCATGTTATTAATGGGAGGAACGTGAGGACACTTGACACTATTGATGGAGGGAGGGAGGAAAGAAATCATCCATATTTATCTATTTTTCTAAATCCCTGAGGTGGCAGGTATCCAGACCTGTGTGTTGTTTGTTTGTGCCTCCTCATCTGCCACTGTCACATATTTCTTTTGCAGCAGCTCCTCTTTCCTCTCCTGAGTTTCCATATCTGACAGCCTTCACGCTGCCTCTATACAGCACTTCTTCTCCTTGCCCACCTCTTCCTCCTACTCAGCTTGCTGTTAATTATATTGCCTTCATACACAGGGTCTTAATGTTTCTGTTAAGAGATAAAAAGGTGGGAGGATAATGAGACAATCAGAAACAGCACAGAGAGAATTATTGAATGGGGGGGGGTGATCTCAATTACCAAACATGGCATTTTTTCTTGTAACTTATCTCTCTGTACTAAAGAGGAGAAAGAGAAAGGGGGGAAATTCCTTTCTTTCCTGTCAACACTCTTGGGCAAACTCCTCTTTGTGTGCCTTTCCTTCCTCTCCCTTCACTCTCTTCCTCATTCTGCCGTCTCTTTGCCTTTCATTCAGTTTTTTCTTGTACACGGGCTTTCATGTAATTATGAGTATTCTGTGTTTTGGGGAGTTTCCTCCTTGTTTTCCAGCTCGGCCTCTGAAAGCCACAGAGGCTACATGCACCCGTACGGCTCCTCTGATTCCCAGCAGGATGTCGCCTTGGTTGGTTGTTGACCAGCCTACGTCCAGCCATGTCCTCAACCTGTTTCTTACCGCCGCCTCAATCACAGAGAATGGCTGTAGTCTTTCATTTTGTGGTTGTTTGTAGCACTTATTTCTGTAATGGTCAGAGAGGAACAATGCATGCTGGGCCAGCTCAGGCGAAGTCAGCCAAATGTCCAGCCCTTCGCGGTCCACTTTGCCGTCTCTGCGGTTAAGCCTTCTGTCCTTTCCTCTTCCTCTTTTCATAGTCCTTCATCCATTTTTACCCACTTGACCCGCTAGTCTTCAGCGATGATGATGTGGCTGTGCTTTGTCCAGAGAAGTCATGCAGAGGGCAGAATACTTAGTTTTGCTCATTTTATATTTTTATTTCAGTAAAAAGCAAAACAAGACATTAACTCAGACCTTAACGGAGCCTACGCATGGTTTTGTTTTAATGTAATTACTGCATTAAGGTTCCCTGCTGCATGTACCAACACAATTGATATATCACTCACAAGTATGTAGCCTCTTGTAATGCATATATATACACAGGCATTCAAACAAGCAAGTTCCTTAATTAGTGAAGTGAGCCCTGTGGCTTTTCTATGCAGGGGGAACTATGCACAGTAATGAATATTCTATCTTAAGTGAGATAGGAGAGAGTTCAGTACATTACGAGATTCATCCCAGCAGATGTTATGATACCTCCCTTAGCGTTCCCCTAATGGTGCTCTGGTCATTAGCCGCCTTCTCTGCATCTCTTGTTGCGTAACATCTTGACAATTACACAACCGTCTCATTTATTCCCCAAGTTTTGCTTCAGGAGACACGCTCACTTTCTCTGACACGGCACAGCGTGCCCGGGAAAAATAAAGCCGACACACCGTCTGGGGACAAATTTCCGTTTGATGTGCATCTCTTTTGATGACCCGTGACGTGGGGATCTCGTTCATGAGCACAGCAGAAACAGAATGGAAAGTGTTAGTGTTATGAGTCTCTTGGAGATGTGTGTGCTCTGTAGCAAAATACACATAAATGAGGAAAGAGGGGAACATCTCTGTCGACTCATCAACAGTTCTGTTTGCACTGCGGGGTCCATGCATGTGTCACTAACCCCAGCTGTCTGTGTGTGTATTGGTCTGCTCGTTGCAGAGGCCCCGGTCTCCAAGTCGGGTCAAGGCTACTCTGGAGCTCCTCGCATCCAGAGGCAAGAGCAGGTCATCCATCTGTCCCCAAAGAAGGGAAGCCAGGTCTGATTTTGCACTCGTCTTAAACAACTTACTTCTACTCTGACAGTGCAGTTCAAATGCCTTATAACATCTGTTTTCAAATATGTGGGCATTTTATTATTTTCTTCTAAATCTCTGTAAACAGTTCAGTTAGCATAGTAATCATTATTTTAGAAAGTCATTAATACTGTAGTCTGACATGTTAAAATAATAACCTCTGCTAGGAGGTGAAAGGGGGTTTAGTTTTCCGAGGGAACACTACGTGGATCTTCATGTAATAATAGGCACATTTAGGGAACTGATATGTCAGCATGTGAAATTTGGTGCAACTTGATTCAATTTAAAGAGATCGTTTGTCCCTGTCAGAGGTCTGTGCTCTGCTTAGTGCTCTTCTAGTTTTATAATTGGTTGCTTGGTCACTAAATGCCAGATTACAGGCTGAAAAATTGTTGTTCTTCACTGACATGGAACCTTCAACTCTCATTTTCCCTCTCTCGTCCACTCTCCGTTTTTTCTGGCAGTCGGACGGCCCTTACTCTGGCCACTCCAGCAGCAACACTCTGTCCAGCACGGCATCCAGTGGCGCTCACAGCGACAGTGATAAATGGTATGAAATGGGAGCAGGTGGAGGCTCCGGCGGTGATCAGGGCGACACGGAGCCCAACGGTCTGGGAGGAGGAGGTTATCTCCAGGGGGCGTCAGCCGACAGCGGCATCGATACCAGCTCTTATGGAGCCTCGCACCACGCCCACCCGCACTCTCATCACGGCAGCACCACTTCCCTTCTGGCTCCCAGTGGCAGCAGGGAGAGCAGGGAGCGGTCAGCCTCTCCGTGGCACAGCCCCACCGAGGGAGGCCGCAGGATGCTGGAGAGGTCACCTGCTGCTGCCGAGTCCCCGGGCCCTCCAGGAGAAAGGAGCCTGGACGGGACCGGCCGAAGCCCGCCTACTCATCTCCTCGTCAGGGATAGCAGCACCTTCAGTCTGAATGAGGCTGGATCACACTCAAGGTCTGCTTTTTTTCTGGACTCTTCAGTGTTTGTGTCAATCGCTTTCCACTTTTTCCATCACACGTCATTCACTGGCTGTCAGAAGGGTGGTCAGGGGCCATTTCAGGGTTCAGTTTATTGCTCAAGGACATTTAGTCATGCCAACTGTAGGGTATCAAACCACCGGCGCTATGGTTGTGCTCATGCCTTTACCCCGTGAGTTTGGAAGGGAGGAGGTTTAATTGCTCTGCAAAGCTCTGAGCCACAACCTTTATTCTTGCTGGCAGATATTACTTGCTGTTTAGGGTTACAAGCCAAAGTTATTGTGAACCAGAGCTTTAAATGCACCCTGTGGTTAGAAAGCCAGGTTCACATTTTAGAGTTCAATAAAAACGAGGCCTCACAAATCAAGGTTATCCAGTCTCTTGCTCAGTCACTTGTGAATCATCTTAAAGATCCGTTAACCTTGGAAGAATCAGGTAATAAGCATCTGAGGCAGATTCCTGACACAGTCAATATGTTGTAAAATACATTTTAAGTAGATATTTTGCACTGCACCCTTAGCTTGACTCCCTTTTTTTACCATTTCCGCACTGTTTTCTGCCATTATTGCTGCCAGTGGTCGACACACAGTTCACTAATGGCCACACCCACACAGCCAGTAGCGTATAAAGATCCAAAAATATGCTCAAAAATAAAAGTTGCAGACAAATACAGTGAAATAGCCAAAAGATACACTTCCACACAAAATAATAATCATGATGAATCAAATAAAAGCTGAATAATGCTTTGACTTCAGTGTTGCCATCATTTAAAATGATTCCCTTCCAACTTCAGTGTTTCCATCACCTCTGCAACACGTTTCCAGTTCTCATTATTTCTCAAGCCAATGTTTCTTCACCCAAGAAGAAGACATTTCACTGGATTACCGCCCTCATAACAATTCTTTCCTGGAAACCAAGACAAGGAGTAATTCTAACTCCCTCTTATCTTTCCACATTAGGCCTCCGGAAATGTGGAACACGTGTCCAGTTGATACAGTTGAACTTGTGTCTCTTCCTGTGTGAGCAAGACTTGATTTGCGTGTTCAGATAGAGTTACAGTTCACGACCTGGATATCGTCTGTCCAGCATTCAAGCCACATTTGTTTTCTGTCATTGTGGTGGAAAGAGGGAATGAGGCTGGTGGGATTGACCCCAGGTGGTACCATGATAGAGTTTTCCATTGCCTAAAGATAGTTTTCAAACCCAGTGATAAATAATAAAGCTTGTATATATTTATATATTACACCGGTTTTTAACACCTGTGTCATTCCTCCTTCCATCAACGCCAGGCACTCAGGCCACAGCTCGCCCAGAGACGAGTCTTCATCTTCAGCCACCTCGCCGTCCTCCCAGTCCTCGGCGTCCCCTGGGCCCAAGAGCTTCTACCCCCGCCAAGGAGCTCAGTCCAAGTACCTGATTGGCTGGAGGAAGCCAGGCTCCACCATCAACTCTGTCGACTTTGGAGACACACGCAAGTAAGACTGGATGTCAGAAATAAAGTGCGACACAGAACAGTGTGTCTGTGCAGTGAGTAGACGAGTGAGCGTGAGCAGCTTACTCTGTTCTACATTTTAAAAAGCTAAAAATAATTTATAGTTTACAGTGTTACGTCAGACAACAACAGAACATTCCTATCTTTCTAATGAAAGCATTTATTGCAGTACTGCTTCATAACATTGCATCTGATCCTATTATGAGTCTTTTTGGCAAACTACTTGATTTCCCTCTTGTGGCTGAAGAGAGTATTTCATTCAAGTACTAACTCATGCAATGAATGAATGTGCTTGGCCTATAGAAGATCTGCTATTGAAGCTGAATGACAACACATAATTAAAAGGTTATTTTCATTTAATTATCTGTGTGTGTGTGTGTGTGTGTGTTTAGGAAGTCTCCTGGAGAGAGTGGAGTGGAGGGTATTCCAACCCCTGCAGCCAGGCCCTCTCTTCGGGACATGCACTCACCCCAGCCTCATGCTAAATCTACTATTGAGGAAGATGTGAAGAGGCACGGGGCTCCAGACAGCCCTCCACCACCACGCAGGCATAAGGAAAAGGTGCACTTTTGTCAATCACAGAACACAGTCAGGCTCTAAAAGTTATTGGACCTCTAACTTGGCTAGCAAGGTTTATACAGCTTTTACTTGTAGTAAAAAATGAAGTCCCAGATAACCCTGGCCTCTAAACACTCACCTAGTGACATTGAAATGATTCCTCCTCCATTTCCTGTGCAGCATGGCCAGAAATCACCGTCGGGCCAACATCTCAGCCACCGTCGCTCGCTCCATCGTACCCTGTCAGACGAGAGCATCTACCGTGGACAGCGACTTCCCCCCCTGAGCGACTCGGTGGCAGAACCAGTTAGCGACGTTCTCTTCAGCTGCTCCACCCTCCCGCGCTCACCCACGACCCGCGGTGTGCCCCTTCGGCGGCCCTCCTATAAGCTCGGTGTCAAACTGCACGGTGAGATCACTGTTTGGACGATGATTTGAAAACCTGCTGGGTTTCGTGACAGATTTGATTTGGAGGATGCCTCAGATGTGAATCTGCTGTCCCCTTTTAAATTGGAAATACTCTAAGAAGCAAAAATTAAGTTTGCATTCAGTCCTTTCCCATTTCTCTTTATAGGTGACCTTTCGGCATCTGACACATCACTGGTGGATTTGGTGGAGCGACACCGTGGACCCCTCCCACAGGAGCTAATGCCCCTCCCTTCTTCAGACAGGGACAGCCCTCTGGAGTGGACACACTTGGTGGACGTGGCCAGTACCTTTGAGAGTGACAGGAACCCTCACTACGGTATAACCATTAACTTATAATCGCTCCTCTTCTGTGGGTTTCTAATCTCCAACCTTTGCTTTAAGCTGCTTCTTTATGCTCCATGATTGTGACTTTGTCTTGTTTTCACCATTTTCCATTTCTCTCTGCTTCCAGTTCAGAGAAGTTACGTGTTCGGGGATTCAAATCACCGGAGCAGCGGCTCCTCCAGTCCACAGCAGCCTCACATCGAGCTGCAGCCAGCACCAGTGTCTCGGCCCTCATCAAGGTAACATCTCGCACCTCGGACCTGAGAGATGGTTTGAAGAAATAAACTAGAAACTCATGTGGCCTCAGGAACGCAGTGTGACTCTAATGCTGAATGTTTATGCAGTGAGTGAGTCATGATCTTCTTTCCTCTCCACAGTGAGGGTCACATAGGGCTGGAGAGGAAAGTCACTAAACTTGAGGCCATTGTGAAGATGCTCCAGGAGGACCTGAAGAAGGTGAGAGAGAAAACAAACACACATGCACTCTACACGCATGTACGAACAGAGCTCCAGTTCATTTCCAGACAGTGAACAAGATCCTTTGTCTGCGTCTGCACTGAACCTCTTCTATTTTACAGTATGTTGAGCTAAAACGTGTTTTTTCAATTTTCTATTCAAGTGTCAGTGAGGATGAAAAATGAAAGGCTCTAGTTGGCTTGTTTATAATGGACCAGCGAGCCGAGGGTGTGAATAAATATTTGTTTTCAATAGAAAATACACAGTCAGCAGTGGAGTGCTGCCACCATTGTTTTGTAATCAGTCTGAGAAACTGCAGCTTTTTTCTTAACTTCAATTCACCTGGAAGGAAGTGAATGGTTCAACTTCGCTTTTATATTCTTATAAAAACCTGAGGAACTAATGTACTCAAGTGATTCTGCTCATTCACCCTTTTCCATTTAATGTTTACACTTCATTTATTTTCAATGGTCCCAGGTGAAAGGCTCAAACTCATCTTTCATGGATCCAAGCCAACGTCCCAGTGCACTAATTGATTCTAATTACTTTTATTTTATTTCGTCTTTCGCAGGAGCGTGATGAAAAGCTGCGGCTTCAGACTCAGATCAAACGGCTGTGGGAGGACAACCAGAGGCTGCAGGAGGAATCTCAGACCTCCGCCACCAAGCTCAAGAAGTTCACAGAGTGGGTTTTCAACACCATCGACATGAACTGACGTACTCCTGCACATCCTAACTTGCACACGCACCCACACGACTTCATACATCAGCACACACAGTCTGGACGGAGACGCGGAGGGGGAGACATGTTCTGAGACTCATTTAACCTGATGCCGAACCCTCCCTCCATCTTCCATCGGCTTCAAACATCAGGGGCTTTTATTGCCGACCAGTCTCTATCTCTGCAGACCCTCTGTTCAACTTCTCAGGATGAGGCCCAAGAAGAACGCGTGTTGTTTGTCAGATCATGAAGGACTGACCTCTGCCCTCCTGTGGGGCCATGAGGGCGTTGCTGAATTGAACTTTCTCTCATCTCGCTGTGCCAAAATCTTTTCAGCAAAATTACCGACAAGTGAAAACACCCTTCCTCCCTCCTCCTTTCTGAACGAGGCGACTTTGCCTCTTCCAGTTATTGCAGAGGTAAACAATGTCCTCACCCCTCTGCCCTGGTCTCCGAGTGGACACGAGTCTCTTTTCAAGGCGACTTTCTTTTTCCTCATTGTTCCTGTTTTTCAAGCACCTTTTTCAAATGTCGCCCAACTTCTCCAGAAGGTGATTTAAGTGTTTCGTGCCAAATCAGCCTCACCACAGCAGAGGGTTTGTCTCAGGCAGAGCAACGACAAACCTGCCAGCTCAGCCACTAAGTGTCCGCTGTAACACAGACGGACAAAAGAGCCACAAGACAACTGGACACGTGAGAGGATTTTGTTTCCATCACCTTTAAATGGAAAGTGAAGAGGTTAGCAACTTTTTTTTTTTCTCCCCGCGGTGGAAACCCCTGAACGTCATGGCCGTTGGTCCGTCAGCCACTGACATGACGTCGATCCGCGTCCGCGCCACAGACAAATCTGGATTTGTACAGTTTTCATTTCTTGACCTGTGTGTGAGTCAGGTCTGGATTACAACAGTCGATCTGTCTCAACAGCACAAACCAACACCTGACACAGGAGTCTATATTTAAAAGCCATTGGCAGTGGTGCCATAAAACAAGACTGATATCCAGAGTGCTTTGGTCCATCCCACTCGTTCGTGTCTTAAAAGCAATAGGAAGAAGTCGGACCTCGTGTTTTTCTCGCTCACAAAAATGAAGAGTTTGCTCTCGCAAGAAGTTTTACGTGGGATACGGTGTTTTAAAGGTCAAACTGGCAAAACACCGGCCTCTGCTGCACAAGAACCTCCAGCTTTTTCCACCGAACATCGTATTCAGGGGAAAAAGAAAACGAGGACGCCACTCATCATTCCAATGACTGGAAAACAGAGAGCCAGCTGATAATAAATGACAGAGACATTTTGGATGAGAAAAGGTTTTTCTTTTTTTCCTCGGGTTAATTTATTTCCTTGTATTCTAATTCCAATAAATAAGTTGTTCTATTCGTACAGTACAACTGACATCAGTGTTTAGTTCCTGAAGAAAAAGGGTCACTAGCTATATTATTTAAACTGCTTTCTTTCTTAATTCTGGCTAAAGCCTGACTATAATGCTTTTTATTCTGTATTCTGTTGTATTTTGTGGTGCCCAAGCCTGCTGTTGTGTTGCTTACAGTGCCCTCTAGTGATGACCAGTGGAAATGTCATGGTTATTAAATGTGCTGCCAGTCACTCTGTATTTTTCCAACGACTCTTCAGCCATCAGTCAGACACACACACACACACACACAACAGATCATCAGAGGCTTTGAGAGACAATCAAAGGTTGATTTTTGACGATGGGAGAGTGTGTGTCTCTGTGTGTGTCTCTGTGTGTGTCTGTGTGTGTGCGTGCTTCAGTTCAAACAGTTCTGCTCAGGTTCAGTCTTTGTTGGGAACGTGTGAGGATCTTTTCTGAAAGCAATTCAACAATAATGACATGTATGACGATATTTTAAATACCCATCCAAAAAGGGAGTCACAGTACCTGCCGTACTTGTGTGTGTTTGTTTGTGTGTGTGTGTGTG